GCTTGCCATTTTCGTGTCGGTGTCTGCGTGCTTGGCGCCGTTCGTACTGCCTGCCTTGTCAGAGTCCTTGGATGCACTCGAAGGCGGGTGCATCGTGAACCACAGCTTGCGGAACTCAGCATCACGTGCTTGGAAGCTCGAGAGCGAGTGCTCCTCGCCCTCGTCGAAGCCGAAGTCGCCGCCGGTTCCGAAGAGGCACGTATGACAGAACCACTGGCCCTTGGGAATAGAAGAAAGGGGCGGGTCTAGGCAGAATATGTGGAACCCTAGGAAGGAAGTGTGCCAAGTGAGAAACAGTCGGAAACGAGGCCATAGGAATCAATGAACGACATGGCCGAGGAAAGTCATCCGGAGGGGCGAACAAATGGATACGTACCACAATCGCAGCCATCGCACAGCAGCATCTCTTCCCCATGGTTCTTCTTATGACACACCTCGCAATGCGGCTGCGCATATGGCCACCGATCCGTGAGGATCCCCGTCTGCGCCCGGTCAACGAGGCTCGAGAGACATACCTCCGCAATGCCCTCTTTCTCTGGAGAGCCATTTCCATTCGCATGCGCGTTCAACGCCGACCTCTTCCGTGTCGCTATATGCGTCCCATATCAGTCCCTTCGACCGATCGATCTCAAGAAGAGTGTCAGGCACTCACGCGTGGCGCCATCCTCCTCCTTTCTCCTACTTCGCCTTTCCTTCATCTCGCTCTCGTCAGGCGGTTCCGACAGCGGGCTAGATGTCGCCGTGAGCGGACTGCCTGGCGGGCTGTCCTCGGCCTTCGTGACCCCCCCGCCGAGGCCGGTCGCGCCGTTCTCCCCGTTGCTCAGCATAGCGCTGATGCTCGCGTCGCCCGAAAGCGAGGGCGAGAGCAACGGCGAGGAGCGCACACGCTGGCAGAAAAGCTCGTACGGCCGGATGACGCGCGCGTATGAGTTCTTGAGCTGCGTCGAGAGCCCAGGTACGCCGGTGTACCCGAGCAGCCGCCCGAGGTCGGCCCATTTCTTCGCGCGGGTGACCTGGGGGAATTGTCAGTACATGCATAGTATGTGTGGCTGCGATATTCATGGCCGTGAGAGTGGCAATGCGAGATGTGTAATGCGAAGATGGGCCGTCACATCTCACATCGATCAACAATCAGATGGTGATAGAAGGTAATAGAATGAAGTCGGGAGCTTTTGTAGAATTGAATTCAAGTTGTGATATAAACGAAGAGACCGAAGTGAGATGTGGAGAAGATGATCAATACACACCGCTTCGTATCCGCCGAGTCGGTGAACTTCCTTACGAAGGAGCCAGAGATCAAGGGAACGATGATTGATGGTGGGCACAGAGACCCGCGGGTTTCCTTGCTGTTTGTGGAAGCGATAAAGTTGCTCAAGGAAGTTGACCTTGGCACGTGCACACGCCTCGATCGAATTAAGGCGTTGCAGCCGCGTTTTGAAGCGAAATTTCTGTGGACATGTGAGCACCACCGGACAAACTCATTGTGAACAGCAACTCGGGACGAGACGCACCTCTGTGTCGGTGACAAACGGCATACGCCACGCCGGAGGGGGGACAATCTTGCACATGCCATGCGATCTCGCCTCGTCGCCGATTTCGCGAATGTATCTCATAGGATCACGCCACTGCTCCGGTGTCGGGTGGTAGACCGGGCACTCTGTCAGCCCGAACGGACGAGGACTGTCTTTGTCTATGGCAGGCGCGGGGGCAGAGTGCGGGCGGGGTGTCTTTACAGTTGCCAGGTCAAGCGCAGGGGGCACCGCGATGGGCGGGCCTCGATACAGCGGAACACGTACGCCATCTTCGGGGTCGTGGTCGAGCGCACCTGGGTCATGTATGCGCTCGGCGTCAGCATCACCGTCAGCGTCGTCTGGGGTGGAGAGCGCAGACTGGGCGTGGGAATGCAGCGCGGCGAGGGCGTCGGTCTTACTCTTGCGCGGGGCCCGCTTCAAGCTCGCAGTGGGGTCTGCAGCTGAGGCATTGACTGTGGAACTGGAGTTGGCGGGGGCAGTGGGCGGGTCGGGCCGCGGGACGGGGATGGCGCCCTGTACAGGGATGGTAAGGCACGAGATGAAGGTTCTCTGGCGCGCAGCATCGGGCTTGGAGGCCGGGAGGGCGGTGGTGCCGTTCTCCTGGACAACATCGACTTTGGCGGCGGGCGTGCTATTGCTGCTGCTGAGGCGGGGGCGGGCGCCGCGGCGAGAGGGGGAGCCGCGCGGGGGAGAGGCGGGCACGGGCATGCTCGCCGGCTCTGCGCGATAAGGCGGATGGGGGCGGTGTGGCCAGGCAGGGGGTGGCAGGCTGCGACTGGGCGGGCTAGTGGTGGGGGAAGGAAAGAGACGGATCTGAGCCACACATGGACCGCCAACCCGTGCGGCAGGGCGGGCCTCAAATTCCCACACGCCAACGACGCGGCGACAGGCGAGCACCTGCACCAAAACGGCAACCCCAGACGCTGCCGGGCGCAGGCTTTGTCGGCGCTCCCAAGCCTGCCGCCCGCTGCCGACGCGCGCCTGCCCCTAGCCAGAGTCTGGGCAGCCCTCAGCCACCGACACGATCGCGGAGTTGCTTCCCGCACCGATCTCCTTCCACGCCAGAGTCTGCGATCACTTCCTCCCGACCTCGTATCCTCTCCTTTCCGCGGCCATTCTCGTCGCGATCCCAGCAGCCATCTACAGCACGCTGCGTAAACGCGAATAGAACAGCGGGCGGACACCCGGGCGCCCCCGATCCAGCGCTGTTCCACAATAGGATCTCCCGTCTTTCGATGGCTTCGATCTTATTGCCTCCGTGCACAACCCGGTCCCCCGTCACCATCCCTTTCCCCTTCCAAACCACCTCGCACGCTCCTCAATGTGACCTGCCAGCGTGTGGTTAGGCGAGCTGGCAGGTGGAACCGTATTCCCTGTACCTGTTCGCTGCGCCGTGCCCCCGGTCCGTCCGCAAGCACTCCTATCAGACGCCCGCCAACGTCCATCATCTTCATCGCCTTCTTTGGCACTTCTTTTGGAAGTTACTTTGCTCCTGCCAATTGCGGCAGTTGCTCTATCGCAATTTCACATCTCCGCCGTACCACGGGTGTCACCCGTGGACTCGTATCAGCGGCGTGCACGCAACTGAATGCGAGCATGACTCCTATGTATCATCACGTTGTCCACTTCTTCACCACGAAGCCTTGGGCTTTGGACAGATGTAAAAATCGTGTCGTGCGTCTGCATGGGGACTAACGCCCCCTAAGGTACCTGCGGAGTGCAAATGATGACGCCCCGCGTTGCACAGTACATACGTGCGACTTATAACCTTGTTCCCGTTGATCAGAACCCTGCTCGGCGCTAGGAATGAGCCGGGTGCACAACGTTCTGAGCAGCCTTCCGACACCCACACAGATGTTCTCGCGGAAACTTTCATTGACAACATCCGCCGGTTCGCATCTGACGCTGGTGTTGACGCTCCATGGAAACTTATCGCCTCTCCTGCCAATCGCCGTCAAATCCTGGGATACACGACTCTACCTCACGCAACTGATCACAAGCTTTCTGGAAAAGGAAGCTTTGAACGTTTACGTGGACTAACCCATTCACTTCCTTGCTGCTTCGCTCTTCACGCACAAAGAGCCGAGCGGAAGTACGGCCGCAGATGTGTTCATCCTCCGGACTCAAACGATTTCGGATCCCAGCTTCGGTTACACCGGGACGTCATTCTCCCCAAAGGAACTTCATGTGCTTCTCGCGGAAACCGTCGCATTCGAAGGCGAACGGTTCTATTTCGTCCACGCAATGCTCTATATAAACACTGGCGTACGCTTCTCTGCGTTCACGAGCAACGGCCTCCGCGCATTTCTGCACGACTGTCCCGCTTCCAAGGGCGGCCGCATCAGAACCTATATCTGCATCTCGCCCGTTCTAAAACCAATTTAGCTCGCACATGCGTCAGCGTCAGCACGGACTCATTACTGGCACACCATTTACCAGCCATCTTCGCACTCGCGGATTGCGCTCATTAGGCCATTTTTCCCAGCGCAGGTGCGCGCGCGGGCTCTTGCAGTGATTTTCCGAATCCAACGCAGTAGTAGGACACGCTGTGGCTACCTGGGGGTCCTCTGACAGATGTCGTCTTGTCTGTGTTGGCCGTAGTGCTCTATTCCCGGACTCATCACTATCTCCCGCGTGCCTGCCCCAGTGTGAGCAGCCAAGGACACGAATCACGTTGCGCCTGCAATCCACCCAACTGTGGATTACTCTGTGGCTGCCATTACGTCGAGGCGCGCAGACGTTTATGATTCGATCCCCAGGATCGTCAGAGAAGCAGCTTACTAAGAAAACGAGAGGCCGCAGGCCATTCTGACGAAGGACATGGCGAATGCAATTGCATGTTAACCACGGCTTTAATCACTGTTCACCCTTCCCATCATACCCGCCGCCACGCCTCTATAATGCGACATAACAGGACAGAACGCGTCGCCGCTGCTCGGTGTGCAAGCCATCATCATGTAATGCAGACTGGTAGCGTCGGCTCGGAGGGTAGTGATCCCGTTCATCGACTCTCCTGTCGTTCCTTCTACCTGTACGCATGTCGTCCGTGCCGGTGGGGTGGCATAGCACTATAACACCCTCGCGACAATCATTATGACGCATCATGGCATGCAGAAGTGTCCGAAGAGGTACTTAGTTTAAGGGCTCCTATCCCTGCGTTACGGTGGCATCTCAGCCACCATTCATACTGCATTATTCGCAGCTGAGACCATTTTGACCAGATGGGCGTAGCACAGATCGTGGAGGGCGGTGATCATGATTCCGCACAATACTGTTCGAGCCTCGTCCCGATCACCACGATCGGACCATTGTCGCCACGCGTATGTGGTGAGTGAGTTACCGACCAAACATGCTTGCTGCATTTTCGGTGTTACTGCGCGAAGCAATAAAAGTTAGCCAAGCGCAACGATCGGAATGACCGACGGTAGGCCAAAGGGCGAAAAAAAAAGAAGCTCGTGGCCTGCCAACTACCCCCGGCGGGACTCGAACCCGCAACCTCCAGATGAAGGGATGAAGCCCTAGAAGTCTGACGTCATAGCCATTAGACAACGGGGGCTTCATAAATGCTTGTCCACAAACGTATACGACGCACATACCCGTTGTACCTCTGAAGCTCTATCCGGTGCGAAGTTCGCCTTGAGACGCCTGAGCAGTGGACCAGGGCTAGACGAATAATCAAATGAGCTCGGTCTTCAAGTGGATGCCGATCTATGGTCCCAATAAAGCCCGACTTGCAGTTAAAGTCATGCCCATGACTTCGACAGGGCGGGAAATACGGCTGCAGGGACAGGACTTTTAGCCCTTCTCCGCAAAGCTGAAGAGAAGCTGAAGCCCTGCGACTCGTTGCTGCATGCGATTGTTTCCTGGTCGACTGACGCAATAAATCTGTGTCAACCAACTGCGTTGTGTCAATCCACGGAAGCAGTTGATGGAGGCTAGTGGTAGCAAGCGAGATGTGCTGCTGCAATAAGATGAGTTAGTGGTTGAGGGCAGATGCACTGGCTTTTCCGACTCAAGCCATCCACCTCGTAAACGCATATAGCCAGCGCACAACACGCCGGTGAAGCTTCAGCAGTTCAAAACACCAGAGCAATGATAAAGCCATGGAGACAAACCCCTCTCTGACGTACAGCACCGAGATCATACGTCGTTGCCGTCATCCCAATGCATGTCAACCTAGCCCCGATCGTCACAAGCCAATGATTGTCTCTGGAATCTCATTAGAAAAATCCCACAACAATTACACTCGATCCCGATTTCATATCTTCATAATGAGGCAGAGAGTCAAGACACAAACGAGAGGCGTAACAAAGAGGTAATAAAAGAATATGCGGCGAATGCTAATCATGCGGATATGATAGAGAACATGCAGGATGGGCCATGATGAGAGCACCAACATGCGATACCAGCGACGCGTCCAAACCGTCGCAGAACGCGTGGAGCGACCTGACCAAGCGTAAGGAAGTGAACATTCTAAGCGCCCTCCTCGGCTGCCGCGTCATTTGACTCATCCTTGTCCGTGGGCTTCTCTGTGGACGAAGTTAGCGACACACACACCCGAAAGATGTAACTCAAAACATACCGGACTCCTGCATGTCGGAGGTCCAGAGGGTCAGGTTGTCACGGAGGAGTTGCATGATGAGGGTCGAGTCCTTGTAGCTCTCTTCCGAGAGGGTGTCAAGCTCCGCAATAGCGTCATCGAACGCTTGCTTCGCGAGGTGGCACGCGCGGTCGGGGCTGTTAAGGATCTCGTAGTAGAAGACGGAGAAGTTGAGTGCGAGACCGAGGCGGATGGGGTGTGTCGGCGGCAGCTCAGTGACGGCAACATCGGACGCGGCCTTGTAAGCCTCGAGCGACTTGTCCGCGCTCTCTTTCCGCTTGTCGCCGGTCGCGAACTCGGCAAGGTAGCGGTGGTAGTCGCCCATCCTGTGCCACGCAGTCAGTAAGCGCCGTGACAATTACGGCCACATTCGGACATACATCTTGTGGTAGAACACCTTGGACTCGCCAGAGGCGGCGGAGGGGATGAGGTGCTTGTCGAGAACGTCGAGAATGTCCTCGCAGATCTTGGCGAGCTCGCTTTCAATCTTCTCCCGGTAGCCCTTGATCATTTGCACCTGAGCCTCATTGCCCTTGGACTCCTCCTTCTGCTCGATGGAGGAGACGATCCGCCACGATGCGCGACGCGCGCCAATGACGTTCTTGTAGGCCACGGACAGGAGGTTGCGCTCCTCGACGGTGAGCTCCTGGTCCGAGGAAGCGACGCGCTTCATGTTCTCGACCATCTCTGCTCGGGGCGGTCAGAGACGTGTCGCAGACGAGAGGCACGAGGTGTTTACCTTCGTAGCGCTCAGCCTGCTCAGCGAGCTTGGCAAGGTAAACGGAGTCTTCACGCGATTGAGACATCTACGGAGCGGACGGTGAGCGAACACGTCGAAAGACGCGTCAGACGCGTCAAACACGTACTGTTGATGTGTTGGAGGTGGTAGGCAAGGGCTGGGAAGGGGAGGTGAGCTGGAGCGCGGGGTGGATGGTGGGGGAGACTAACGTGCGATAAGTGGCGGGGAGGGATGGTGGTAGTTGAAGAAAAGGAGGGAGCGGGGAGATAAATGAGGAAATTAAATTGTGGGCAGGGCAGAGGGTTCGGAGGGTGGGCAGAGGGTACTCCACGTGACTCCCCTTCCCACGCCAGCTTGGCGGGTGTCATTGTCCGCAAACAGCCGCGCCCGCGGCTACCGCAGACGCCCGGCTGCCGGCCCCGCTGCGGCCTATCAACGGGGGAGCCGCCGCCGCCGCCCGCCGCCCGCCCAGCCTTGGCGCAGACGGGCACGGTCGCTGGGCCGACGCTGCACGGGGCGGCGGGTCGCGGCTGTTCATTTCGTTGCCCATGGAAACCGCCCGAGTCCTCGCCAGCAACGCCCGCCGCGCGACGCCGCAGCGGCCTTCTCTCAGCGACGGGACGTGTCCGAAATAGAAGGCAGCATCAAGTGATCATCATTCGCCCTCTGCACCAGCATCACAGCGTCTGCCGAGATTAGGCCTGCACCGGACACCTCTCGTTGCTTGCCGCCCAGATAGTAGCCTCCCGGAAGCGACTAGCGCTGCCAGCGGAGCGTCGGTGTTGGACCCAGATAAGCACGCCGGACTCCGAGACGGCCGTCTCCAGGCATTCTACTGCGACATGCAGCCTGGTAACGTTGATGGGTAGGCCACAGGGGCGACTTGTTTCCTGTGCGACATCTACATAGACGGTTCTGTAGTGGCACTGTATCTGCGGCACGGAGCTTCCAGCAAGCTGTCTTAGCCACCATAGCCACTTTCGGTCCATGCTGGCATGCCACATTCCAGTGAACGCACAACCACGGATTCCAAAGAACCCAAAGCCTATGTACAGCCTTCTTCATGTCAATGAAAGCGAACACTCCAGCGCCATGTTTTCGTGTGACGATCCCGGCACTGCGTCACCGATAGCGGCTGGAGAAGCTGTCTTTGGAGGCCCCACTGCGGAGAGGCAATTACACTTCTAGAGGACGGGTACATAGCAATATACTGCGCCGTATACCGCGCTAACGATCGGGGCTGAGGGTCTGAACACTACGTGTGAGCGTCTTAGGTCACCCATCGGCCCCATTCGCAATATGGAGTGAACTCCGAGAGCGATCCTCAATGTCCTCAGACACACGAACTTTCCAGCGAAACACCTACATTCAACTGATCCCAAACGCGCAGGCGCACACCAAAATGCCCGGTCTCGTTCAGCGCTACAACATCTCCGCAGAACACGCAAAGCTCCTCTCCACCCGCCCATCCCACCAGCGCACCAGCCACGCCCGCTCTCCCTCCGCCGCCCGCCCGCTGGCCGCCGCACGCGCCGAGGCCACGTCCTGGTACGCCGCAGCCGTTCCGCCGCTCGCGGACGTGCAAACCGCGCTGCGCCGCGGGCGCCGCGACCCGGACGCGTCGCAGGCGCGCGCGTTCCGCTTCTACGCGCCGCTCGTCGTCTTCGGTGTGCTCTTCGCCATAGCCGTGCTCGCGCTCGACCCACACTCGATCGCGCACCGCGTCCTTGCGCGACGCCAGGGACAAGGACGCGCCGCGGAGCTCGTGCTATGTGTTGGCACGGTCATGGGTGCGGTGGGCGCGGCGTTACTCGTGCTGAGGATGATCATCTGGAGTGTGGCGGAGATTGCGGAGATGGTTGTTGAGGCGGAGGCGGGGCAGAGGGCGGGGGGCAAGGGAAACACAGTGGAACTGCCTTCATCTAATGTGCTGCTGGGCAGTATGTTTATGGACTGATATCAGTTGGCTGTACATGCTGTTATCGCTGAAGCTCAGTGTATGCTCGGGATATCGAAAATGCTGTGCCCACCAATCGTCACACCCTGTTTGTTGAAAACAGGCAAGGGAATGCAAAAGCATCCCTTACATCATAACCGTGGATAATCGGATATTAACGAAAGCCCTATTCCCTATTCTCCCGAATGATATCCTGGATGAACTTTGCCCAGCGCTTTTCGAACAAAGCCAAGGCTCGTTCCTTTTCCCTTGGGTCCAGACACGAATGCTGATTATATCACATAACAGTCAATCACAGGGCCCTGGCTCAATGAATTACAACACACCTTGATGCTGTCACGAGCAATCTCGCCCATCGTGATCAGCCCAGATACCTCACTTGCGACGAGTACCTGTCAAACAATCCATTGTCATTTACAGATAAACAGCGCAGCGAGAGACGAACTTGATAGTAATCAAAGGACAGCCCCATATTGCCAAAGATGGCCGGATCATCTGAACAAAGCGCGACACGCACGCCCTGGTTCATCAGGACGGGCAGTGGGTGCATGGGCATAGACGATGTCAGGCGCTGGAGATCAACCGTCGGCGGGATGATACATCATCTGCACAATTGGTTATGCAGGTATGGCAATGGACGCACCAGGATTTCATTGCTAAAAACGCCGGCCATCAGTCAGAAGATGTCTCCGTGAACGGGCAACACGCAGACTAACGAGATAGGGCAGACTTCAACGGCGATGTCCCTCTCCTTGCAAATCTCAATGAGCTTCGGGTGCTTCACCAGTGAGAAACTAATCAGACGTCGCCATCAGCACATGTCCCTGCTCCAAAGAGCCCAGTAACATGCCCGTGCCCGATGCGTTTTGTGCCCAGCAGTATTGCGTCGTACAGGTTCATGTCCGCAGCTGTGCCGTCCCCGAGCGTCTCCCCCGCATGGAATATGAATGGGATATCGAGCCCGAGCTCTTTCTGGCGCTCCACGAAGCGCGTCAGCGGGTCGATGTAGTCTATGAGGGGCTTCAGTGAGTCTTCGTGACCCACGAGGTCGAACCCTGTCCATACAAACAGAGGAACGGTCAGTACGGGGCACATGCCGAGTTTGAGGCATGTTGGGAGCGCGCACCTGCAATGAGGTGCGGGAATTCCTGCTTGAGCGCGAGGCAGTCCTCGCAGTACCAATCCAGCTCTTCGGGAGTAACGAACCGGAGCGTGCAGTAAATGATCTGCGGGGTAGGATGAGCCACAGTAATCACGTAA